ATATATATATATATATATATATATATATGTTGCGTGTATCTGTGGTGCGTGTATGTATGTATGTACGTATGTATGTATATATATATATGTATGTACGTATGTATGTATGTATGTATGTATGTATGTATGTATGTATGTATGTATGTATGTGTGTATGTATGTATGTATGTATGTATGTATGTATATATGTATGTATGTGTGTTTTGAAAAAAAAATGAAAAAATTTTTCTAGTTACATCCATTGCTACGTTCGCTCAATCGTCTTTCAGCTCCTCATCCTTATCGTTATCACATATTTCCATGATTTCACATTTTTGTTACTCTTTTTTTGTTTTTCTCGCATCATAAATACTCTTTTTTCTTTTCCTCTTTCGTATCTTAGAAGGCCTTATTTCATAATGTTGTAATATTTTATTAGGGACCTGACATATCATGTATCTGATAAGCATTGTTGTAGAAGTGACAAATTTTTGTCGAAGTGTCTCCTATTTGCGCCCTTTATTATTTGATCACTGATTTTGAAATGAGATATGTTGGTGAAGGACTTCGGATATGGATCGTGTGATTGTAATTGTATATGCATGGCATCAAAATATCTGATGGAATTCGAAGCGGTTATGTGAGGTCGTTATTTTTGGACTTCTCCAACTCCAACTATGCTCCATTTCATTTAACGCATATTTGCCGTGTATTCCTCTCTAAATATTTTTCTCCCATGCATGTTTCTGTTTCTGAAGATCGAAAGAGCATGGGTTCGTTTACTATTCATATCCGTATTTCTTTCGTCCATGGAAAATGGGATGCAGCTATGCATATGCCTATAACCGATGCCATCATAAGAACATTTCATGCACAGCCAGGTTATCGATGATTTAAATGTCTAGTCTTGGTAAACGGATATGACACTATCTCTTCTGAACCTTTTTGAAGTTCTTTGCACCGTGATTCTGACTTACCTAGTCGTTTTCGCTTCCACATTTATTAAAAGAAAATAAGTGCTACCAGAAGGCTGATTATAACAGGTCAGAATTTATTGGAAGCTATGCCTACGCAAGTCCAGGCAAAGATCAAATAATGACGATCTGCAACGACGAAATCTCTAAAAAGTACTGGCTTAATGTAGAAATGAAATAATTTAATGGTCAAACCTCATCAATGTTTTCTCTTCTTGCTAAAATTAAAGAAAATAAGTGTATATGTGTGTGTGCATGTGTGTGTGTATGTGTGTTTGTGTGTCTAAGTATTTAAAAATTTATCTTAAGTTTAAAGATAGCTGTTCTAAAAAGGCTAAAAAGGGCCTATGTTATTCGTGTTGGAATTCTGCTGTTGACTATATTTTTACTCTACAAAAAATTTGGTGTTCTTTAAGCTAGTTCAAATAATAACAGGTAGCGATCCACCTACTTGGATCTGGTTCAGCTACTCGCGATCTGGTTCAGCTACTCGCTTTGTTTCTTAAAGTTAGCAAATTTACTGTTAGTTACTGCATGGGTTGTTTTTCGCGCAGTGCTTCAGTTATGCTTTTAAAGTCCACTGCAGGGATGACATCTCGCTTCATATTCCCACTCATGTACTGAATGTACCTCAGTAATCCAAAGTTTAGTGCCTTTCTAACAATAGTTGAAGAGCATGATTTTACGAAGAGTAGTACCAATTGAGTTTATGGATCCGGTCATCCTTATTACCTGGAAAATTTTATGAGCATTGGTACTATTTATACTGATACTATTCATGATAGTACAACTCTCCGCAGCCTTCTAAACACTCTGCTTTTGCATGCGTTTGTGTGTTGGAATATTCTGATGGAAGATAAGAACAAAGTTCATTTAAACCGAAATGAGGTAGTAAAAGAAAATAGCTTTAAAAAAAAAAAAAAAGAAAAAAAACAAACGACTGCCTTGCATTCATTTGTTTGTTGTCTCATTATTAATGACTCTAAGCGCCTAAAATATATGTGAATACATGTCATAATTTTTGATAAGCTAGACAGATGAAAAATGTTTTCATGCTATTGCAAACATTTTGCTATTAAATGGGAAATGTTTTGTGCCCTCTGTCCCTAGAAGATTGAACTTTAGTATGGAAAGAAGCTTGTAAACATTTTGAAAGAAAGGAAAGGAAACAGACAGGAGAAGTGAGACAATTTATCTAGCAGTAAAACGCATAGGAAAATCCCGTCCTTACCTACCAAGAGTATAGCTTACCACAAAGCACGATAACTGATTTCTCAAGTTTTGGAACCCGTGTTTCGTAGAGGATGTGGATAAATAAGCAGATAAACAAAAGTGGAACCTATCGAATTCAAAGGAAGACTGCTGTACCGTGATGAAGTTGAACAAGGGCTTTTAAAATTACCTTCCGGGATCATTGCCTCGTCCTCACATTCTTTTTCTGCACTACTTCATTTTAACAGTGATCGTTCGAATGGCTTCTGTGTTCCTTGGTTCACTTAGACAATGCAGTAATTCAAACCGGATAAAATTTTTGTGTGCGAATGCGTTATTATGCGATTTTGCAGGGAAATTTATTGAATTTTAAGCTATTTACCAAACAGCCATGAGATTTGATAATACACTGGAAAGGGGATAATCATATTGGAAACGATAGATCACTTCCATTCTTAGGACAAACTGATAAAGAATCGTAAATATGAAAATATTTAGATCGGCAAGAGACACAGAAAAGAGTGATGCGAATGAATAGGAAGAAATGAATTGATGGAACAAAAATGATAAGACTTTTTTGTGAATGTTTAAACAGTTCGATGTAAACTTTTATGTTAACATTTAAACCGCTCAACTTCACTTTTTGGTTAAATACATCAGCAGTTGAACGCATGAAAAACAAAGCACATACATAAACCGGCGTGAGTTGTAAACAGGTTTTCAAATTTCGATGTGCAAAAAACGGTAAAATTGAAAAGAAGACGAAGCATGAGGTAAATGACGGGGAAGGAAGTGTGAAAATTAATTCGAAAGATGAAACAAAGATGAAATAGGAGCAACGAAAATCAGAGAATACTTTTACAATAAACATTATTTTCTATCAGTGGCGTTGAAAGTTGAAAGGGAAAATGCTTTACCAAAGTGCACATTGGACAGCAACTATTACATACTTTTAAAATGATGTTTACAAAACTTTCAGCTATTCCAGTAAGAATAGTTCTGGGAAAAAAAGTTTTGATGTGAAAGTGATGGCTATGTACTGAGCCTACAAGTTGTCTAGGCTCATTTAGTAAAGCTATATAAAAAGTATTCGTCATTTCCATAGGTAGGCTGAATATTATGTCTTACACACACTCACCATATGCCTACAATAAGAGAGCCCTACGCAAACTTCTCGAGGGTACTCCTCACTCTCCTGTACATTGCCAAAGAAACACTGTACCTTACCGCCAGCCAGTAGCATCCAGCACCACGACGGTTAGCTTCCATCCAAACAATTGGTTCTTTATTTATTAAGTGCATTTGTTTGTATGTGTGTATGTGTATGTGTGTATGTATATGTGTGTGAGCGCTAGCAAAGTTGAAAAACACACATGATGTTTGAGTGGATGTATTTGCTGCTGCGGTTGAAATGCATTAAGGAAGGAGAAACGGGAATTGTGCACGGCTCCTATACCTATAATGCACCAAGGTTACCTTGACAGATTGATATTCACACTTATTTTATTTTATCATGTCCTTTCTGTACCTCGTTTTTTATTACTCATTTTTCACTACTTTCTTTAATAGTTGTAATTTATGCAATTTTCAATTTTATTTGGAGAAAGTCTGATAAGCTAATTTTCGGGTCATAAAATTTGCGATTAATAATGCATTGATTTAACGTTTCCCAAGCGTAATGGAAAAGAAATGGAAGTGCTACTAATTGCAATGTCTAGTTTTCTGATCTGAGATTTTCCGCTGATGGTAGGGATAATTCATTGGATAATTGATGTAGCCAATCAGTGGTTTCCTTCCTTTGTGAAGGCACAATTCACCACCAGGATACTCTAACGTTG